TTGACTCACTATACAATGATCCGTTTGGCCTGAGTTTATCATGTACGTTGACTCACTATACAATGATCCGTTTGGCCTGAGTTTATTAAGTACATTGACTCACTATACAATGATCCGTTTGGCCTGAGTTTATTAACTACGTTGACTCACTATACTTCTCTGGGAGAAGGAGCTACCACTGCTGAATGTGACCGCCAACATGGACGCACACTCCTCCGCGTAAAACGGCATTTGTCCAGTCTCGTCCACAGCTCCTGTAAATGTTAAAGTAACGTGACGCTGTGTTAGAGAATATCTATGTGTACTCTAATACAATAAGATCAGGAGACTGTTGTCACACTGTGTTAGAGAATATCTATGTGTACACTAATACAATTAGATCAGGAGACTGTTGTCACACCTGTGTTAGAGAATATCTATGTGTACACTAATACAATTAGATCAGGAGACTGTTGTCACACCTTTGTTAGAGAATATCTATGTGTGCCCTTATACAATTAGATCAGGAGACTGTTGTCACACCTGTGTCAGAGAATATCTATGTGTACACTAATACAATTAGATCAGGAGACTGTTGTCACACCTGTGTCAGAGAATATCTATGTGTGCCCTAATACAATTAGATAAGGAGACTGTTGTCACACCACCTGTGTTAGAGAATATCTATGTGTACCTTAATACAATTAGATCAGGAGACTGTTGTGACACCTGTGTTCGAGAATATCTATGTGTACCTTAATACAATTAGATCAGGAGACTGTTGTGACACCTGTGTTCGAGAATATCTATGTGTACCTTAATACAATTAGATCAGGAGACTGTTGTGACACCTGTGTTAGAGAATATCTATGTGTACCTTAATACAATTAGATCAGGAGACTGTTGTGACACCTGTGTTAGAGAATATCTATGTGTACACTAATACAATTAGATCAGGAGACCGTTGTCACACCTTTATTAGAGAATATCTATGTGTGCTCTTATACAATTAGATCAGGAGACTGTTGTCAAACCTTTGTTAGAGAATATCTATGTGTGCCCTAATGCAATTAGATCAGGAGACTGTTGTCACACTATGTGTACACTAATACAATTAGATCAGGAGTCCGTTGTCACACCTTTGTTAGAGAATATATATGTGTGCTCTTATACAATGAGATCAGGAGACTGTTGTCACACTGTGTTAGAGAATATCTATGGGTACACTAATACAATTAGATCAGGAGACCGTTGTCACCCCTTTGTTAGAGAATATCTATGTGTGCTCTTGTACAATGAGATCAGGAGACTGTTGTCACACTGTGTTAGAGAATATCTATGTGTGCTCTAATACAATTAGATCAGGAGACTGTTGTGACACCTGTGTTCGAGAATATCTATGTGTACCTTAATACAATTAGATCAGGAGACTGTTGTCAAACCTTTGTTAGAGAATATCTATGTGTGCTCTAATACAATTAGATCAGGAGACTGTTATCACACCTGTATTAGAGAATATCTATGTGTACACTAATACAATTAGATCAGGAGTCCGTTGTCACACCTTTGTTAGAGAATATCTATGTGTGCTCTAATACAGTTAGATCAGGAGACTGTTGTCACACCTTTGTTAGAGAATATCTATGTGTACCCTAATACAATTAGATCAGGAGACTGTTATCACACCTGTGTTAGACAATATCTATGTGTACACTAATACAATTAGATCAGGAGACCGTTGTCACACCTTTGTTAGAGAATATCTATGTGTGCTCTTATACAATGAGATCAGGAGACTGTTGTCACACTGTGTTAGAGAATATCTATGTGTACACTAATACAATTAGATCAGGAGACTGTTGTCACAC